GGGTCTAATTCATTTTTAACCTTGCTTCTCTCCTCGGAATCCTCAGAGGGAGTTATAACTTGCAATCTTTCAGGTAGTCGCATCGCTGCTCAGTGACTTATGAAACCAAGGGGGATATTCTTGAAATCAGCTTCCTATGGTAAGGAAATGTCTAGGGGTCCAGCTTCTATTTTTCATTCAATCATATATTAATATTATGTGATTAAGTCCAGAAAACAGTGAACATGTTTTGAAAGTGAAGTACACAAATGGCGGTTTATTGCTATAGGCAGTGATATTCCATAGAGAGTCTGTCCTCAGGCACTACAGACACACCAAGACTGCTGAACTAGCCTCGCTTATGGGTGCAACTTAAAATCACGTGTCAAAAGGGTTTTTCCATTGTTCCCTCCCTAACCGCTATAATCCCACTGAAAGCAATCAGAAAGGTATATTTTTGATTTCCACAATATGCGTTTGTCTTTTGCAGAGCTGGGAGGGTCTCTTATCAGCCTTTCACGAGTTTGGCCACGTCTTCTACAGACTGGCCTATTCTGGAGAATGTAACCATGGTGACCATGGCAATCGGTTTCATCTACCCCTCACTTTGAAACAGGGTGCCCTTCCAGTCTTCCATGAAGTGGCTGGGGAGGCTTTGATGTTGGGCAGTCTGACTCCGATTTCAATGCAAGTGGTCGAGGCAATTGTGTCAGTTTCTGGTCAGAATACCTTGAGTAGGAAGAACTTTCCTCTGGCGGGCTAGACGAACGATTAGCAAGACAGAATCATGTGGGCAACTAATAGGATTGTCATTTAAATCGGTAGTTGGTGTGAAGAGAACAAGCATTTAGGCTGATTTTAAGGCAGATAGCGGAATGGTTCTAAATGAAGTGAATTGGAGGCTAGTGGTTGTTCAATGAGATGTATTCACCCTATTTCGTCTAAGGTGATGAAGGACTGGTAGTAGATCTGGTGAGATAGGCAAACGAATCTCTTCATCATGTACTTTCATTCGAAATGAAGGTCCCCCTAACAATGTTATCTCAGGAGATTCATCGAAACCAAGTTTCTCTTCATATGTAGCCACTTGTTTGGCGATTTACACGCCATCTTTCGAGACGTCGTGCATCCAGATCACTGCCCTGCAGAATGCTTGCATCGAGTAGTATTCATTGGCAATCCCTACACTTGAACTGAGAATATGCGCATTTTTCATGGACAGAAAGTCATCACCAGATCAAAAAGTACATAAAAAAATGCAGTTGGTCGAAGTTAAACTCCAAGACATAGCAAGATCAATCTCCAAATTGGTAAAGTTTATGAGTCATGCTGTCCTGACGTTGCCTCTAAGGCAACCAACAACAAGGTGAAACGAAGATGTGAAGACGAAAGTGTGGCGCTTTTTTTCTCTACAGTCTCCCTCCCTCTAGTTTTCGATATGTGACAAAGCGAAATCCGAAGATGCTACCTCAAACTACGTCCTCTGTCAGTCCAGCCAACTATCCTTCCTGGTTCGGACAGTTGCTTGGACACATCTTCAAGTACACACGCCCTCGATGATGGATGTTAACTGACAAAAGGACCAGTTTCCCTTCTTCACTCCCGAAACCTCTCAAAATAGGGATTTTCGACCCGACTTTGACCATTTTTTCTTTCCAGTCAATCACCCCAGCCTTCCTTTCTAGATCTTGGACCCTCATTTGCCTTCCTACTCCCTTCTCCAGGCGCATCAGCAGTCAACTCAGAGTCTCCCTCAATTCACGACTTGACAAGCCATACTATTATCTCTGGTTCCAAAGCTGTTATGGTCGTCCATTAGTCCAGATTTGTATGAAATTGGTGGCAGGGTTCGAAATGTGAGAGATAAACCGGAATAGGTCTACTCTAGCCCCGAAAGTTAATTCACTAAAGAGCCCTTTAGGAATCCGAGCTGCCAATTCATCGAGGTGGGACGAAATGCAAAGTTATTAGTCCCCATGACATAGGCTCCTCAGTGAGCATCGACAGATATGATTATTTAAGATATGAATACCAAGATAGCATGGCCTTAGATTTGGTTACAATCTCCCCTCGAAGTATAAAGTTGGTTTGACTTCATCTTAGTTATGAAGAGTAATTGAGTTTCTATGGCTCTCTTAAGATAGCATTGCCGCAGAATCTTTCACTTATGAAAGTACATCATGAATAGCTTCGTTTGTTGATCTCCAAGGAAGACGACACCTAATTCCTGCTGTCCTACAGCCGGTTGAATATAATGCATCGTTCATGTTTACGCAGTACATGAAACAACCTTCATAGTTTCTTGTGAAACTGGGTCGAGAAATCTCGGTCATGTTTCTTATTTGTTCATCAAACCCTGCTGACTCGGGCCTGACTTTGAGCCCTTTTCTAGTTACTCTGATCTATAAGCGGTATTGCGTACGTGCATTGACATGCACACACCTCATTAACCTCATTAATATGAGAAAGAACTAACCAAATTATTCTCATATTTATATTTTCGTTGAATATGTAGGATAGAGCCGGATAGTGTCCTTGATTTAGTGCTAACCTAAAGCTTTTAAACAAATGAGCTCCAGCTCTTATGATGTCCATCATATGATGTACGGAATCTCATCCTGGTTTCACCCGAGACATGAGCTGATGACTCGTGTCAGCCCGAACCATACAGCTGCAGAATAACGGAAATCAGCTTTTGCCTTTCGATGAGACCAACCAATGAATCTTCG